ACCTTGGTGGATGGTCCGCATATGCTCCAGTATGGATAGATGGCGGATTAGGAAATAAAATTGAAGTCATTACAACTATGTTCGTTGAATGCAGCGCACAAACAAATGGTCCATTTGCTTTTGAAGGAAAGTTCTTCCTCAAATTTGATAAAGTTGCCGATGCCAGAAATAAGCCAGGTAGTGGAGGAGTAGGGGTAATTTTAGCTAAAAGTGACACACCCGTGAAGGGTGTGATTACCGATCGGTAATTTCGACAGTTGAGAATTTAAAATTTTTTATGGAACTGTTGCGAGTTTCATAAAGAATTTAAGGAATATAAGCAAAGATTTGAATCAAAATCTTAGACCTAAGCCGCTCGATTCGCTCGCGGCTTCCGCGAATTACAGATCAGCAAAGATTTGAATCAAAATCTTCGAACTAAGCCGATCGCTTCGCTCGCGGCTTTCTTTATTATTTTAAATTTGCATATTTCCATCAAAAGTTCATAAGGTAAAAAATTTCGTTTATTTTTACTAAGAAAAAAAAGGTTTTTGATAATAAATTTATTTTATTTCGAAAAAGTAGCAATAATCGTAAAAGGGTATTGATAGGCTTGCTAAAGTAACTAATTTTAGCTGTCAAATACTTTTGTATTTTGAAGTAAATTAGTATAAATTTGTTTTTACTTTTATTTCGAAAAAGTAGCAATAATCGTAAAAGGGTATTGATAGGCTTGCTAAAGTAACTAATTTTAGCTGTCAAATACTTTTGTATTTTGAAGTAAATTAGTATAAATTTGATATTATTTTAACTCCCTTTGAAAACCTCAATTTTCCATACAGAGGGAACGGGAATAGCATCCAATATTCCCTGAGAATGGTTGCGCATTCTCAGTTCCCTCTATATTTCGAACGAAGCTCTCATCGGTCTTTTTTTTTAATACTAAACGTTTTTTTCCCCTGTCACTTTTAGCTAAAATTTGGGTTTGCCGGTAGTGGAGCACAAGGAGTTATGGGAAGAATAGCAACTACTGGTGATTTCAACCTAACCATGTCTTCTTTCATCGATAACAAGGGTGGAGCAAGAAACTTAAGATTAGAGCAGACCCCAAGATACCTTGAGAACTTAAACGTTTCCGGAAACTACGCTGATCAGGCAGGCCAAATGTATGCTTATGGTAATGTCATTTTTGATCATTCCAGTACATCACCAGTTGTAAATTGGTGCAATTTCGAAGAATGCCGTTCCTCATGTGGTGTCGTTTACAACGCTTCCACTGCAGGAGACACTACCATCAACCATTGCAACTTTGTTGGCAATCAAATTGATGGATGGGGTGTAATCGTCTGTGAGAAATCAAACCCGATTTCTATAAAGGACACTATCTTCTATGGAAACAAGTACACTAACATCCCACTTATTTATTCAAGAACGGCTGATGTTATCATTAATAACTGCTATGTTGATAACTCAGCTATGCAGGGTGGCAAAGTTTCAATCCAGAAGTATATGATTACTTCAAAGAAGCCTTACGAAATGATTTTATATGCAACAGAAAAGATCAAGGCCATTGTTGCATACAATCCAGATGGTAACACAAATTCCAATGGAAACAATAATGGAAACACAGGAAGCACAGGAAACAATGATGGAAATCACGCATCAACAGAAAATGTCACTGCACAGACCGATGGCCAGCCCACAAACCAAACAGAAGGATTCTTCATGAAGAAAGTTGGTCCTCTCAGAGTTTGGATGGTCTTTGTCATCGTTGGATGCCTTCTTGTCGTATTCATCGTTTGCTTTGTTCTTTACAAGAAGAAACATAATCATCACCATCACCACCATCATCATAAAGGAGAAGATGATGATGACGAAGAAGAGGATGATGAAGATGGTGAAGAAGAAAATGCTGAGGTCGAAGAAGCACCTCAGCCATAATTCATCAAAATAAAATGTTCATTTTACCCCTTGATTTATAAAATGGATATATGTATTTATTCTGGATCAATTTTTAATAAAATTATGAGAAAAATCAAATCTCAATTTCACATTCAAGTGGTCTATTGAGTTTCTGTCGAGATATCCTTTAAACTAAAGACTTGTTTAAAGTGATAGATGCATGAGTTATAAGGAATTTTAGGATCATCTCAAAATTATTTACTTAGCATTGCTTCATATATATTGAATTTATTAGCATGATCTAAAATTTGTCTATTTTATTAAGCAAAATATAAATAATAGCCAAATCAAAATAAAAATTTCCGAATATCAGACTAATATAGTGAAGTAGGAGAAGATCTCATATATCTTTTAAGAAATAATATATGTTTCGCCTTTTGATTATATAAGATATCCAATAAAATAGAATGATATAAAATCTTGAAAATTATGTTTTATCTTTGAATGACTGTGCTTTGGCCAAGTCAATATGAGTATAAGTACTTGAAAATCACTCATTTGACCATAAAAATAAAGTTATATTTTTATATAAAATTGTATTTTTTTTTATTAAAATAAACAGAATTTATTAAATATAAAGTAAATCAAATCTGGAAGTAAAGTGGATGAGTTTCTTTGACCTGGTGACCGCAAACAGGACATACTTCGCCAGATTTCTGCAAGCAGTCGCTACAGACCGCGTGCATGCACGGCGACAAGTAAACGTTCCTTTTCGCTTCTTTGCAAACTGGACAATCGAGTATTTTCTTTGCATTCTCGTATTCTCTTTCGTCGAATCTATCCATTCTCGCAGTGAACATGTCCTTGAACATGTCTCTCTCTTTGGCAATGACGAACCTCCTCTCTTCCGCTTCCCTGACTTGGCTATCGATTTTCGCGATTTCCTCGTCCAGGGCTGCCTCTTCGGCGCAGAGCTGAGCGTACTCAGCTTCCACGTCTTCCGCAGGCGGAATCTGTATAGTATCGGCCGGAATGTCTAATGAGCTTGTCGCGAGAATTATTAGCTGCTGGTTGGCTTGTATGATGTTCTGGCATATCTTTTCGATGGATAAGGAACGGTATGAATCGCCGAAATGTAAGTAAATCTGTTGGAGTTTCTGTAATTCGCGATATTCATTTTGAAGTTCTTCGATTTGAACTGTTGCTTTCGTACTATCTGCAATAGCGCTGAAATTGGCTTGTTGTGAATAGAACCACGTACGGGCTTTCTCTGTGGCCTTTACGCAGTTTTGGAAAATTTCATCTCGCATGTCGCGAAGTTGAGGGAGCATGACGGCAGCACTTGAGAGATCTATGTTCTCTGATGTGCCCTCCGTCGTTGCACTTAGCTTTTGGTCGAGTAATTCGGCGATTTCATCCCATTCTTTTGAATTATCTTCTTCCATCGATTGGAATCTGGCTGAAACATTCTTGGGGAAGATTGCTTCAATGTAAGGAGTGTATTTCTGCTCGAGATTGAGTATTTCGTTCTGTAATTTGTCGATTCTTTTCACAAATTTTTCTTTTGAATAGCTGAAGTTATCGTACATCTTAATACTGGTGACTTTGATCTTTTGGAAGATGTTTTGGCTGTTCTCGAGCT